AATTAATATAATTTTCACAAAAACAGAGATAAAAAATATGTATAATAGAAAAATATGTTTTATATAAGAGAGAAAATTTGGAAAAATAAATACGTCAATTATGGAGAAACTATCAGGTGATTTCGATTATATCGATAATATTGCACAAAACTACGTTTCTGCCGGCTAGTTCGAGCATCAATGGCATCGCGAAGGTGGATGCTGCCGCTGCTGATCCTGGGAACCGGCGCGATCGCGTCGGTTCCCGTGGCTCGGCAGACGAACCGGGAATCCCTCAGGAGCGCCCTGGATGCCGTCGCGCGAAAGCAGAGATCCCTGGACGCGGCAGACACACCGGAATACTATAACGATCTTCACTCGTTCAAGTATCACGGCGGCGGCGCCGACCGCAAGTTCGATCGCGACTTCGACGAGGAGGACGAGGAGATCGAGTTCCTGCCCGGCGGTAAGAGCATAGGAATCGAGAAATTCTAAGAGAGATTTCTCGTCGCGAATAAAAGCAAATCCCATAAAAAATCCCGCCCCTTCTCTCATCGCATATCTTTATAATATATTTATAACGCGATATTACAGATTTTTATGAATTTTATACAATATTGAATTTATACTGATTAATTCCATCGCGATTTCAGATAACGGCCAGCTAGAAACGGCGGGGGAGGGTCTCCAGGGCCTGAACAACAAGTTGTTCGAGAGAGCACTGCTCGATTATTTGGAGAACCTGCCCGAGCAGGTAAATTCTTTGATTTTGCAAATATCTAATAAAGAAGGCGGGTAATAATAAAGACGGCCGATTTCTTATTTCCGAATCGCGAGATTAGAGCCCGCGCAATTCGATCTAATTTTTGGATAATTTGTCAAGATAATTAACATTTACAGGAAGAGCCGGTAGCCTCGATCTTTCGCGAACGCGAGCGAAGCGGCAGCCGCAAACGAGGCGGTGCCGGCGATCGATTGAATCTGGACGAGCAGGATCTGGCGAGGCTGATCTTGGAGGAACTGCAGGACGGTTCTCCGTATGGTTCGCTTGATAAGATAGACGGCGAAGAGTATTTAACCGCTTTACAAACGCTTTACGACAGATACAGAGCTGGTAGAGGGAACAAAGTATACGAGTGAGTTGGATTCTCGATCTGTGCGAGTTCTTGCGATCCATTACAAAGACTATAATTATATAAAATATAAGGAATTTTTAATTAATCTAATTTAATTTAATTTTTATTCATCTAAAATAACGTAATTAATATGAATTCTGAATGAATTTTAATTTAATTTCGACAGTCACGGAAATTTTTTTTTTTTTTTTTTTTTTTGACGGATATCGGTAAGATTGCATTCATATCGCTAAAATTTTATTGTTTTTGCAAAAAGATTTCTGTCTTATTAAAGAAATAGGATACTGATAACCGTTAATATGGTTTCTAAAAAAAATAATGCTTTTGCTCGACACAGAACGGCAGGACCAATGTCTTGGGGCGACCCGCTTAGCAAGGACTCGTCGCTGAGGAAGAACGACGACGAAGAGTTTGCGGATCAAAATGAGAGCATCCTGTATTTGCCACCTACGTTGGAACGTAGAAACGTGAACGGTCGATACCCTATCGGTCGCGAGTTCGGCAACTATCGCAGGCTGACAAAGCGCTATCCGGTTGCTAAGAGAAGCCCCAGACCCACCCAGACTAAGCTAAAGACCACGGATCCTAAGGTGATACAATAAAGGATGGTGTCCATCGTTTAAGGATAAAAGAGATAATATCCTCCTGTTACTTGTAATCATTCGCCTCCTCGATATATAATAAGCTTTTTTTTTTTTAATTTCTAAATCATTCGTATCGTTCTATTACGACGAAATATTATCGCAACCTTACGTCAAAAAAATATATTTCTATGAATATACTTCTGTATATAAATGCAACATTATATAAAGCTATATATTGTAGTATATAAATACGCATTTAACTATACATTGCAAGGTTGCTCAAGACCTGGGAGCTTTATTCGGCACGCAATCCACGGACACGCACAATCATACTCATAAATCCGATCACGGTCACGAACACGATCACGAACATATTCCTGAACACGATCACGTACATAATCACGATCACGATCACGATCACGAACACGAACACGAACATGAGCACGGCCACGAGAGCACTTCGGAAACGCCGCCGAAAATGACGCCGTCTCCGAAGGATCAAAAGGAAAACGCTACGAAGCAGGCCAAATCGAAATTTGTTCAAGTAAGAAAGAAGAGTGTCGATTGGTCGCAATATTTCGGCATCGATCGTAGAAAGAAGAAGGCTACTTTCACGGCCGGGCAGGGTACGCAAAATCAGGACGACGAGTGGATGTTGCAGCGTTATTATGAAGTATATATTGCAATTATTACAATTTATTATTAATAATAATATTCTCTAGAAAAAAAAAGATATAAGAGAGATATATTTATTATATATATTTTATTAATTTATATTAAATTATATTA